TGGGCTCGATCCCCAGTGTAGGGCGTGCAGAAGGCGCGATCAATTATTCTCTCTCATCATTGATGTTTCTATCTCTCCCTCTCTGAAATCAATAAACATTTTTTTTTAAAGGATAAGGATACAGCAACTTGTCAAAGTGCTTAAGCTAAATCTAATGAGGGCAATTCCAGACTTGGAGATTTTATTTTTTTTTTTAATTTTTAAAATAGGTTTTTATTGATTTCAGAGAGGAAGGGAGAGGGAGGGAGAGAAACATCAATCCATTTTTTTAAAATATACTTTTATTGATTCCAGAGTTCTCTGCAGAGGCTTCTGTCTAGGCCAGTGCTCTGTTGCCTTGGAAGTCCCGGCAGCACTCGCCTGGGCTGGGGAAGCCAGAGACACAGCTGTGTCCCGTGTCCTCTGGACACTCCCGGACTGCAGAGCTGAGCGCCAGCTGGTCCCTCAGAGCTCCCCGCGCCAGGGCAGCGGGTAGTTCTGGTTTCTATTTTCTCCTAGCCCCAGTTCCCTAATCAGAGTGGAGTTAGTTGAGTCATAATAGCAATTATGTGATTAAACACATCCCTGAGGCCTTCCTGAGAGTGAAAGGGCCTTCCCTGGGCTTCCCAGGGAGTCCCCCGGGGACCCCCGCAAAACCTGGCCTCCTTTTCCCTCCTCCTACCCTGCGCAGATTCCTCATCGGAGCATTTGGGAAGAGGGAGAGATGGGAGATACACGGGAGAGACAGGCTCTTTGTCTGAGGCTCTGGGCTGGGAGGGGGCGGGGCAAGCGCGCCTAGAGCCCCGCCCTCTGCCACTGGCCGCTCTTGCACAGCCAAGGGGCAGGAGGACGGGTTGGGGGCAGCTGCAGTGGCTGTGCAAGAGCGGCCAGTGGCAGAGGGCGGGGCTGCCCTCCCTCACCCGCACCAGGCCCCTGCCCAATCGCGACTGCCCCCTGAGCGTCCTGCGTTGTTCTCCTCCGTGCCTGTTGATGAAGATGTTCTGGAATTAGATCGAGGTGATGGCTGCACAATGCGAATATACTACTAAATGCCACTGAATTGTACATTTTCAAGTGGTTAAGATGGTGAATTCTGCGTTAGGTGTATTTTACACAGTAACAAATAATGCAATTTGCATGCTATTTGTCATCATTTTAGGATCTATTCTTTAGAGCAAATGTACTGGATCAGAAGGTATGACGAACGTTTTCAAACTTAATGTATTCCCTCAGGAAGATAACCATTTTATACTCTGGGGCAAGGACCGGACTGAGTGTGTGATCGGGTGATGGACTTAGCCAGGATGAGGGAGAGCTGGTTGCCATGGGGCCTGGAGGTGGCTACTGTCCTCGGGACCTGTGTGGTGACCAGGCAGCGAGTGCTCTGACAGTCAGCAGGAACCAGGCTGTCTGAAGCTGTGACGGCCACCTGTGTCCCATTTGGGCAAAGGAGTGCCTCTAAGGCTCCAGTCCTCTCTTCCTGGTGGAAGTGAATTGGGTTGAGCTGTGTTCCATGGACCAACTCACTTGGGCCCATCCCAGCAGCAGGAATCAGAGGCCCCGAGGAGAGAGCATGAAGCCTCAGGCAAGGCAAGCGCAGGGTGCGTTTTCTGACTACAGGCTCATCCAGCGAGTATTGCCGTTCTTCAACCGCAAGGGCTTCTGGGGTAGCTGACCATCCCAGGTCCACATGGGAAACTCCTGGGAAGGCTGCGTGGGGCTCCTTGGGGCCTGGCTTCCTCTCTGATCTGAGGGTGACCTGAGGACTCCCGGTGGGCCCTCGCAGGTCAGAAATCGGGGTGTGGTGGGAGTGTATCCTTGAGTTCCCGAGAGCCTGATGGGAACCAACTCGCGTGCCTGTGGAGCCTGATCCACGTGTTAGGTCTACCAGGGTCCAGCTTGTGTCACGTGCTTAGCATAAGGTGACCAGACGTCCCGCTTTTGGCGGGACAGTCCCGATTTTCAACAATTTATCCCGCGTCCCGTGGCGTTTTAAAAAAGTCCCGATCTTTCCAAAAATCGGGACTTTTTAAAAACACCGTGAGACTCGGGACAAATTGTTAAAATGCAGGACGTCTGGTCATCTTAGCTTAGCATGCTCAGCAGCCTCCCCGGGCTGCCATGTCCAGGTGTTTGGGCAGAGCCTCAGCGAGGATGGACACACGGGTACCTGGCCGTGAGTGGCTATGAGACAGGAGGGGGCAGGAAGTGATGAGCAGGTGCCTGGGACCCCTGCTCCTATTGCTCTAGTCCCCAGAAAGAAGGATGTGTGAAGGGACAGGAAAGAGCGGCAGGCAGCTGTGCAGTGGGTAAAAAGGTAATGGAGAAGCTCCCCATCCCCACCCTTCCTCCCCCAACCCCCCAGATGAATAATTTACCAAAAGGTTAGGATGAAGACAAAGGAGGATAATGACACAGGCTGACACTGAGTGCTGAGTGGGGAGGTGGCAGAAGTGGGGGGAGGGGAAGCAAAGAGCTTCTGGAGAAGAGGGTTCAACACAAGGTCATTCACCCACCCTCACAGCCACCAAGCCTCACCCCTCACCCACACAATCCATCCACACCCCCACATCCCCACTCACAGCCCTACCCAGACCACACCCACCCAACTCATAACCACCCCTGTGCGCACTCTGCCTACCCCCACACCTGTCCTATGCCTCCACATCTCAGCCAGAACCCTACCTATATCCCCACGCAGTGCCTATCCCCACCCCCACTGCCATTCATACACCACACGGGGACCCACCTCCTATACCCCCCAACCTCTACTACATAAAGCAAGAGGGGGCTTCTCCACCTGTCCCACTGAGCCCACTCCCCATTCCCTGAGCTCCCAGCCTCACGCTGCCCCCCCACCAGCTCGGGGTCCCTCCAGCTATTCTTCCGAAACTCAGGAACTCTGAACGCCGTAGGCACCTGATGGTTTTCTGTTATTTTTCAAATGTTCTACACGAACCTGTGTTTCTTTCATAATTAAACAGAATTGACGAAAACATGATCTTTTCTGACCATGGAATGTTTGGAGGGGGGGAGAGACAGAAAGCCAGAGGTTATCTCCAAGGACATAATCCCCTAGCAAAAAGGTGGGGGAAGTACCCAGGAGTGGCGGGCGGCCAAGGGTCCCTGACTCTCCAGCTCTCCTAGGACACGGGCTGGTCCGTCGCGTGGCAACTGGGAAGACATGGTGTTACGGTTGGGTGGAGCATCTCTGAGGAACCACATCCCCTGAGACATTCAGGAGGAAGGTGGCACTGTGTGTGAGGATGAGAAGACGGGACAGCGCAGCCAAGCAGAGAAGCTGGTGCCTTGGCCCATGTGGGGCCCTGTCCATGGGGTCCCCGGGACCCACACTCTCCATGCTGGCTGTCAGGGACTTGGCTTCCACCTGCAAACCACCCTCCTCATCTCTTCCCCTGATTCAGGGCAGGTAGCACCTGCTCAGGGAGCCTTCCCTTAACCCCATCCTCCCCAGGCTGGCCTTGAGCTTCCATAGCAGCCCCCAAAGGTCTGTCTTCACACTTCCCTGCTGGCTGTAGCCATTTGGGGCGTCACTGCTAGTGGGTGGCCTCCCCAGGCCCAGAACAGCTCTTCCACAAGCTGCTGTGGAAATGGAAGACCCTGTCACCCCCCTGGCCTCATGGCAGGTGCTGGCTGTTGGTTGGGTCATTAGTCTTCTTACCTCCGTGCCAAGCAGGGCTTTGAGGCTGCAGTGTATGTTGCGGGCTTCACTAGCTGGAAAGTGACCATGCCAGAGCCCAAGGCACACAGGCTGCTGCGGAAATTAGGGATTGTGCTGGAGCCAGTCTTCTATCCCCGATGTTTGGGACGTGGGACAAATTGTTAAAAATCGGGACTGTCCCACCAAAAGCGGGATGTCTGATCACCTTACCTTTAGGGCAACTTGCTCTACCCAGCTGAGACCCTGCTCTGAAGCTCTATCTCTCGGAAGGCCCTCTTTCCCCCAGCCAGTATCGGCCTGCTTTTCCCTAGAGCCGGCTCCAGTCCCACCTTCTTCTTGGCCCCAGAGCCTGCCACGGCCTCCTCCTCCCCTGCTCACCCCACTCTTACCACTGCGCGCATCCTGGCCTGGCTCACGACCTTGACTCATCCCCTTCATCTTGCTGAGCCTTGCTTCCTCATCTGCCAAATAGGTCAGCTTCAGATTTGGGCACATCAGGCGCCCAAGAAATGGCGGTGGTTGGGGAAGGGCCACTTCCTTGGCCTTAGACTACCTTGCGATGCCACCAGACTCTGTGTGTGTTGGCCTCTGCTCTTTGCTGAGTCCCTCGCTACCTTGAGGACAGCGATCCTGTCCTTTGCATCATCTTGCTCTTCCCTGATCCTCCCGCCTGAACCCATCACGGGTCTTCCTCTCACACAGCAAATGCTCACTTATTGCCAAGGGGGGCTCCGCAGTCTTTGAGCTGCTCACTCTGGCCTCTGCTGCCTGAAGGAGAGGCAGGGCTGGAGTGAGGGCACAGAAGGGTGGGTGACTCCCCGGAGGAGGGCTGAAGGGTGTTCTAGTGCGTAGTCACTGGGGCTCCCTGGTCTCCGGGGCATGGCCCAGCATCCCCAGACAGCACTGTGTGGGGACAGGGCTGAGAAGTGGGGTTCGCCTGGATATGAGGGCGCTATGGGTAAGCAGAGCAGATTTCTAAATAAATAAATAAATAAATAAATAAATAAATAAATAAATATAAAATATATTGATTTCAGAGAGGAAGGAGGGTAGAGAGAGAGAGAGAGGAATATCAATGATGAGAGAGAATCATTGTTCGGTTGCCTCCTGCACACCCCTTATTAGAGAGAGAGAGAGGAATATCAATGATGAGAATCATTGTTCGGTTGCCTCCTGCACATTGATCGAGCCCGCAACCTGGGCATGTGCCCTGACCAGGCACAGAACTGTGACCTCCTGGTTCACAGGAGGAGCCACGCAGGCCTGACAGCAGATTTCTTGGTTGCGCAGATGGGGGCACTGGACAGTGGGTTCTCATGGGGGCATGTCTCTGCCGCAGGTGAACGGGAAGGAGCTCTCCAAGCTGTCTCAGGAGCAAACCCTGGAGGCCCTGCGTTCCTCCAAGGAGCCCCTGGTGATACAGGTGTTGAGACGCAGCCCCCGCCTCCGGGGGGACAGCTCCTGTCACGACCTGCAGCTGGTGGACAGTGGCACTCAGACTGACATCACCTTCGAGCATATCATGGCGCTGGGCAAGCTGCGCCCGCCCACCCCACCCATGGTCATCCTGGAGCCGTACGTCCTGTCTGAGCTGTGAGTCGCCCTCAGGAGGGCCCCGGGCCCTGCCTCCAGAGAGGGCATGCCACCAGGGGCAGCCATCCCCACCCCACCCAGAGGTTGTGTTGCTGCAGCTCTGGGCATGGCGGGGAGACCCCCGACTGGCTTGCCCTCTCGGGCAGGAAGCAGGCCCCTTGGCCTCCAGAGTTGACTGTGGCACCCAAGGGCTCAGAAATCTCCAGGCCTCTAGCCTCAGGCTGAACACCAGCCGGGGAAGGGGCCAGGGGAAGTTGACACACAGGCTCCTCGTTGTATCTACCCCCAGGGCCAAGGGAGGACCATCCTGGGATCTTGCTGCTGGAAGGTTGAGGTCCTCAGCTCCTCCTCCTCCATCCTCTCTCCTCTGCCGTCCCATCGTCTTCTGCCTCACAAGCATCACCCCTTGAATCTTCTTGCATCCTTGTCTGTCCCATCTCTCTCCCTGCTCTGAACTTCTTCCATCTCTTCGGCTTCTTTCTTTGGCTTTGGCCCACTCAGAAGAAGGGCCTCTCACCCAGGCCTGGTGGCTCATGACTGTGTGAGCACTGACTCATTCTGCTAGTCTAAACCCCGGCTGCAGGGAGGTGGTCCCGGGACCCCTTCGCAGAGAGGTAGGCCCAGGGCTGCCGGCTGCCAAGCTTAGCTTCGGGGCAACAAGGGCCACCTTTGGAGGTAGGGTGGGTCCTCCTCTGCCCCCCAGACGTCCTCTGGGGCCTGGATAACTCCTGGGGGCGTTGCATGAGTGGGGTCAGTGCTGGGCGGGAAGGATACCCACAGTTCGGAGAAGTCACTGCCAGCTGGCATGGTTGGAGGAGTCTGAGGTGGGGGACGGTGCAGGACAGGCTTAGGGGTCTAGGCATGCCTGCATCCCCAGTGCGGACCCCTGCACACTCCTGGTCTATGCATGGATGCATGTAGCTCAGAAGGAGGGAGTTCTGACCATCTTCCCTGAGGTTGTACCCAGAGCAGGGCTCCATGCTGAGTGCAGTGGGACTGGCCAGCTCAGGAGCTGGGGCTGGGGCAAGGGCATGAGAGGAGCAGATGGCCAGCCTGATCCCCCCCTTCTCCTGGGCAGCCCCCCCATCAGCCATGAGTATTATGACCCAGCGGAGTTCTTGGAGGGCGGCCCGCAGGAGGCAGACCGTGTGGACGAGCTGGAGTATGAGGTGAGCCAGGCGGCCAGGGCAGGGCCCGCAGCCAGCCTCAGGAGCCAGTCCCAGGATGGCTGTCCTCAGCCTACCTCAGGTCTGGCTCCTGCTGCTTCCAGGCGGCTGGGCCTTGTGGTCCTTCCCGGGATGTGGCTGGTTACTCAGGCTCACCCACCAAGTCTGGCTGAGTTGGGGAGGGCACGGGTGAGGTCACACGGTCGGTTTATGTCGGTGAGTCTGTGTCCCGCACATACATGTCTGTGTCCTATGCGTCTTGTGCGTCTCGTGCGTATGTCTTGGGCATTTCCTGGTAGGAAACACATGCGCCATTTGGGGATGGTAAGAAAGATCCTCCGAATCTGGAGGCTCAGCTCAGGTGAAGTGCTTCCGGGGGTCCGGACTGGGTCGTGCCCACCGCCACTACTTGGGTCCTTGCTCACGTATTTCCTGGGCTTTCTCCCCCTGCTTCCCCCACGCCCCCTTGTGGCAGGAGGTGGAGCTGTATAAAGCCAGCCACCGGGACAAGCTGGGCCTGATGGTTTGCTATCGCACCGATGATGAGGAGGACCTGGGCATCTACGTTGGAGAGGTATGACGGTGGGGATATGGCAGTGGAGTCTTCTAGAAGGCAGCAGAGCCTCATGCTGTCTTTGTGCTAGGACCTCAAAGCTGGACTTTGATGATGCCCATCTGTACTGCACCAGTGAGGGGAACGGTCACCATGGTGGTGGGTAGTGGGGCAGGGCCTGGCACACAGAATCCCCATAGCATCCAACTCCTTGGCCTTTGCACACTGCCCAGGGTGCTCAGGCTGCCCACAGGGACCCAACTGCCAGGGATAAGGCCTGCTTAGCATCAATAGTCAGTGAATGCCCAGCCTGACAGCCCTCCCCCAGCGTACGTGGCCAGGATGGGACAGTGGGCAAGTCTGAGGCAGGCTGAGGTCCCGGCCAGGCTTTGTTATTTCTCGCACCTCTTGCAGCCGCCTTCCTGGCACTCATGGGGTCATTCTCCTCCACCTGTCTGTGTCCGATGACTCCCCTGCTGCCATCCACAGTCTAGCAGTATCCTAATCAAGTTAACCTTCATAGGACTATCTCACTGCTATTTAAAAAATATATATATACCGTATTGATTTTTTACAGAGAGAAAGGGAGACAGATAGTTAGGAATAACCAATCAGCTGCCTCCTGTACACCCCCTACTGGGGATGTGCCCACAATCAAGGTACATGCCCTTGACCAGGATCGAACCTGGGACTTTTCAGTCCGCAGGCTGACGCTCTATTCACTGAGCCAAACCGGTTTTGGCCCACTGCTATTTTCTGAGCATGGGAAAGTATCCTAGCCTCTGACACAAAAATGAACAGGCTTTCATGCAAAAGCGTGTAGGGTTACCAGCCAGCACATGGGCACGAGGGGGTGTTGGAAGGGGCTGGAAGGTTCAGTCAGTAAGTTGGTAGCTTGTGCTAGGGAGAGGTGACTAGCCCTAGGCCCCCTGTTCTGTCCCTGCCTCCTGGAGCTTGGGAGCTCCTGGTCTGAGCTGAAGAGGGAGTGAGCAAGGAGCCTTTGGTTGGCTTCGGGGACTCCCAAGGTGAGGCTGACCTGTTCTACGGAGAGGGCACCTTGGCAGAGGTGCCCAGTCCCCACCCATGATGTGTGTGCCTTGCAGGTGAATCCCAACAGCATTGCAGCCAAAGATGGCCGGATCCGAGAGGGAGACCGAATTGTCCAGGTGAGCAGGCCAAGCATGCCTGACTCCAGGCTCCACTGTGCCAGCTGCCTCTCCACACCTTCTTTTCTAAAAATATTTTTATTGATTTCAGAGAGGAAGAGAGAGGGAGAGAGATAGAAACATCCATGATAAGAGAGAATCATTGGTCGGTTGCTTCCTGCACACCCCTTACTGGGGGATCGAGCTTGCCCCCTAGGCATGTGCCCTGACCAGGAATCAAAAATCATGACCTTCCTGGTTCATAGGTCAGCATTCACTGAACCACACTGGCCAAGCTGCCCTGCCACTTCTTAGCTGATCCCAGCTCTGTCCTAAGAGCTTAGCTTGGTGTCAGGCAGCCTAAAACTGGGCTGGGTCTCCTCTCTGCACAGCTGCCCTGGGTGACTCCTGTGTGCCCATCAGATCTACTCTGGCACCTTGCTAGCCTCTCCCTCTGCCCCCAGATGTGAGCACATCTGTCCTACGTTGTCCTCTGAGCACATGCGCCTTTGCACAATCCAGGCTGTCCTCTCCTGAGGCACCTCCCACTTGTCTCCATCCTGCCAAAGCTTGGGGAGCCCGTCCCAACCCAGGGTGCTCCCCCAGGGCCCGCCCCTCAGCCAGCTCTGGCATCCCTGCTGATTGTTCCTCACCTGCCACAGATAAACGGTGTGGACGTCCAGAACCGGGAAGAGGCAGTGGCCATCCTGAGCCAAGAGGAGAACACCAACATCTCCCTGCTGGTGGCCCGGCCCGAGAGCCAGGTGTGTGTCCAGCAGGCTGTTCTGGGTCCCCTCCCATCGGGCGTTCTGTCTTAGAATCTGCTGATTTGGGTCAGGGGCACAGACATGCCAACAGCCTGGCACTGACAGCGGGCTGGCAGTGTCCCAGGGCCTGTTTTCCCTTTTGGCCTATGATGGCCAGGACCACCCCGTTTCTGGGGGTTTTAACCCTGTTGAGTAAGGAATCTTGAGGCAATTGGAAGGGTGGCTGGGGAGGTTTTTAAGACAGTGGGGACATCACGGGCCTGTCTCTGCAGCTGGCAAAGCGAATGAAGGACAGTGACCGTGATGACTTCCTGGATGTCTTGGGCTCAGAGAATGAGGGGAAGTTGAAATCCCCCCCTGCCCAGCAGGTGAGGAAGGAGGAAGGGTAGGTCATTGGGAGGGCCAGCAGGAAGGGAGGGTGAGGAGGGGCTAGGGGTGTGTGGGAAGCGGGCTGGACCCCAAAGCCCTTCTGATCACCCCATCCTCTTTCGGCGCCCCCGCTAACGGGACCCAGACTGAGTTAGGGTTCATCTTTCTACCCCAGCTCGGAAAAGAAGAGGAGCCAGGGGCCCCGGATGCGGGCCCAGGCCTGAGCAACAGCCAGGAGCTGGACAGTGGGGTGGGTCGGACTGATGAGAGCACCCGCAATGAGGAGAGCTCTGAGCACGACCTGCTGGGGGATGAGCCCCTGAGCACCACCAACACGCCTGGCACCCTGCGCAAATTCGGCCTGCAAGGGGACGCCCTGCAGAGCCGCGACTTCCACTTCAGCATGGACTCCCTGCTGGCTGAGGGGGCTGGGCTGGGGGGTGCTGAGGTCCCGGGCCTCACCGACGAGGAGTATGAGCGCTACCGGGAGCTGCTGGAGATCAAGTGCCACCTGGAGAATGGCAACCAGCTGGGCCTCCTGTTCGCCCGCGCGTCCGGGGGCAACAGTGCCCTGGACGTGAACCGCAACGAGAGCCTGGGCCACGAGATGGCCATGCTGGAGGAGGAGCTACGGCACCTGGAGTTCAAGTGCCGCAACATCTTGCGGGCGCAGAAGATGCAGCAGCTACGGGAGCGCTGCATGAAGGCCTGGCTGCTGGAGGAGGAGAGCGTCTACGAACTGGGCGCCAGCGAGCCCAAGAAGCGTGAGCTGCCCGACATCTCTGAGCTGCCCGAGAAGTCTGACAAGGACAGCACCAGTGCCTACAACACGGGGGAGAGCTGCCGCAGCACCCCGCTGCTCACCGAGCCGCTGCAGGAGAGCCCCCTGAGGCGGGCCGCTGCTGGCAACTCCAACTTGAATCGGACCCCCTCGAGCCCCCCTGTCGCCACCCACCCCAAGGCAGCTCCTCCGCCGGGGAGCCCCGGCAAGTTCCGATCCCTGTCCCGGGATCCCGAGGTGGGCCGGAGACAGCACTCCGAGGAGCGTGTCCGCCGCAGCCCCAAGATGGGGGTCGCCCTGGAGCGCGTGGGCCCCGAGGGCAGCCCTTACCTCTCCAGGCGCCACCGAGGCCAGGGCCCGGAGGGCGAGCACTACCAAAGCTGTCTGCAGCTGGCCCCTCCGCGCTGCCTGGAGGATCTGGGCCACGGCCCCCTGAGTCTGGCTGGTGGCCCTCGGGTGGGCGGAGCCGTGGCCGCAGCCAGTGAAGGGCCCCGCATGGAGTGGAAGGTCAAGGTGCGCAGCGATGGAACCCGCTACGTGGCCAAGCGGCCCGTGCGTGATCGCCTCCTGAAAGCCCGGGCCCTGAAGATCCGCGAGGAGCGCAGTGGCATGACCACAGACGACGACGCGGTCAGCGAGATGAAGATGGGCCGCTATTGGAGCAAGGAGGAGCGGAAGCAGCATCTGATCCGGGCCCGGGAGCAGCGCAAGCGGCGCGAGTTCATGATGCAGAGCCGGTTGGAGTGCCTGAGGGAACAGCAGAACGGCGACAGCAAGGCTGAGCTCAACATCATTGCCCTGAGCCACCGCAAGACCATGAAGAAGCGGAATAAGAAGATTCTAGACAACTGGATCACCATTCAGGAGATGCTGGCCCATGGCACCCGTTCAGCTGACGGCAAGCGAGTCTACAACCCTCTGCTCTCCGTCACCACTGTCTGAGCTGCCCAGATGGGAGCCAGCTGTGATACAGGGCTGGCCCTCTGCCCCTGCCCGGGTCCAGTGAGCCTCCAGGAATCCCACCCCCTCATCTCCCGTAGAATCTAGTGTGTGTCTTTGTGCACAGGTGTGCACACACCTGTCTTTGTATTTGTGCACAGGACTTGGTTACCAGAGAGAAGCCCCCAAGGAGAATGGGCACCCCTTCCACTGTGTGTGTGCACGCGCGCGCGTGTGTATGTGTGTGCAACATTAGCCCAGGCACATGCACGTGCACACACTCCCCCCTTCCACCCCCTGCCCCCAGCTCTCAGTGTATTGAGCTGAAAAAGGAGAGGTAAAGAGGATTGTCCTAAGCACAAGAGAATGTCCAGCTCCCGAGCTGAGCAGTCTCTCCCCCATGCTGGGAGCCTCCACTATTTGTAGACAAAGGCAACCCTGTTTTTGTGGTTTTTCTCCCTTTCTGTGCTTGCCAATTGTTTTTCTGTTTTGTGCACCTGCCCTGGGGGGTAGCAGCTCCTTCAGGCAGCCTGACGAAGGTGGAACCCCCCTAGTGAGGGCTGGGAAGGAGGGGGGTGGGAGGGGAGTGAGAGAAGGGAGGGGAGGGGTGGGAGGGAAGGGATGGGAAGGAAGGGAAGAATGGAAAGCAGCTTTCCTGCTGGCCTCCGCTCTGAGGTGTGGGGACAAGGGCTTTCAAGGCTCACCCTGGGGGCTACCTCCTGTGACCAAGGGAGAGCCGAGACGGGCCTGAGGGGCCAGTATCCATCCAAGAAGAAATATCTGAGCCAAGGGCTGTGCCTGACTCCATGTGGAGCGTGGCTTCTCTTCTGAGGGTCGTGAGGGGTCCAGAAGCGAGGCCCACGTGTCATAGCAAAAGAGCTTTGTGACAAGATCCACATAGAATTGAGGGAGCTGCCTGGAGCCCAGTGAGAGCCGTGCCAGGCTAGCTGGGCTGACTGGGGAGATGTCCTGCACCCTGCTTTGCAGGTGTGGACTGGGATGTTCTCCAGGGCCCCTCAGCCTCAGAGAGCCTCAGCTTGGAGGCAGACAGATTGCCCATCCCTGCCCCCCACTGGCATCACAATAAAGCAAGCTGCCTTTTTATGGTGACTCCTGGTCTTCCTGTGTTTATTCTCATCGATCGAGCTTGGGTGGCAGAGGGGTGTGCATGTGCGTGTGTGCGCGTGTGTGCGTGTGTGTGTGTGTGTGTGTGTGTGTGTGTGTGTTGGGGGGGTGGAGGGGAGTGAAGGGCAGGGCAGGTGAGGACATGCCAATTGAAAGCTGTCTCTCGCCGAAACCGGTTTGGCTCAGTGGTAGAGCGTCGGTCTGAGGACTGAAAGGTCCCAGGTTCGATTCCGGCGAAGGGCATGTACTTGGTTGCAGGCACATCCCCAGTGGGGCGTGTGCAAGAGGCAGCTGGTCGATGTTTCTCTCTCATTGACGTTTCTGGCTCTCTATCTCTCTCCCTTCTTCTCTGTAAAATATCAATAAAATATTTAAAAAAAAGAAAAAAAGCTGTCTCTCAGCCTTCTTGGCATATCACTGAGGAACAGCAAGGTTTTGTTTGCTTTTTAATATATTTTTTATTGTTGATAGTATTATAGGTATCTCCCATTTTTTATTCCCCCTCCTCCCAGCCCTCATTATTTCAGAGAGAGAAACATCAATGATGAGAATCATTGATCGGCTGTCTCCTGCACACACCCCACTTGGATGGAGCCCACAACCCAGGCACGTGCCCTGACTGGGAATAGAACTGTGACCTCCTGGTTCATAGGTCATCACTCAACCACTGAGCCACACCAGCTAGGAAACAGCAAGATCTTTTGGCAGTGTCCTATACCTGACAGGAGGTATGACAGGGTCACTTGAATCATTTCAAGGATGTGACATGGCCTCAGGGGTGGTGCATAGATGCAGGATGACAGGGTTGGCTCAGGACTGAATGAAGCCAACACTCCTTCACTGCTGGAGCCTGAGAGAAGGGGTTCCACCCCACCCCTTTCCCCTGCTCCAGAAGAACTGTTTGTGCTTTTCAAAGGCACAAACCTTCCCTATTTGGGGACCCCAGTGCCTAGCACAGAGATGATGCTGGGTAAAAGTCTAGGCCATGATGTGGATGAATACCTGGGTGGTCACACGGCCCTTCTGGCTCAGACTTCCAGAGGTGCAGCCAGATGTTCCATTCAGTGCAGCAAACCACTGGTATCAGCTAAGCGCCAGGACCCATGCTACATGCTGGGCCGGAGCCAGGGCCCTGAAGGCCATCTCAGGTGTGGCCTGCTCTGTGCGGAACGCTCCTTGGAGTGGGCAGTGTGGCCATGAAGGGGGCTTCTGAACAGACTGGATGCTGCCAGCAGCTGATGTGGGCAAGGACACACTTAAATTCTCTTTAAAAATAAATGATGTAGACCTCTCATTAACTCTGAAAATTGGCTGAGATGGGCACGAGTGAGGAGTCCACGTTCCCAGAAGCCCATTCCCCTGCTGGGAAGGTAGGTTCCCAGTGGGCCACATCTGTCCAGCTACTGCCCATGTCTGTCCAGCTACTGTGTTGAGGAGCTGGGCAGGAAGGCCCAACGTCACACTGCAGACTGGAATGCCATCAAGGGGGAGGGAGCACAGAGCTTATTAGTGAAAAGGGGTGAAGGGAGCAGAAGGGTAGGGGCATGGGATGTTGACTCATGGGCATATTGCTGAAGACCTATTGCTGAAGACTAGGTATGTAGATTCTTATGACCCCCACTTCTCTGGAGGGAACATGACCCCATAGAGGAGGATGGGGCTTTCCTGCCACAGAAAACGGGGGGAGGGGTGTGGGGAGTGGGAGATAAGCCTACCATTCTCTGGGCACAGCTCTCCAACTGTTGGGAGGCAACTTGAATGTCTCCAGAGATCCCCCATTCTTGTTTCAGCCAGGATTTGCCTGGAGGCTTAGTACTGGGGGGGGGGGGATGTGGGCCAAGACAGGCCTGGGGCCTGGGTCCCTGAAAGCCAGCGCTGTGGCTGGGCTCTCACAGATTCTTGGAGGTGGTGCCCGGAGGGTTGGCAGCCCTTGGCTTCTGACACCCTGGGACAGTGACTTCACATCTGGGTCCTATTGCCATTGGGCAGGATAGTGGAGCCAGGATCAAAAAGTGCCCCTGGGTGGCACACAGCTGCCAGTCTACCTTGCCTCCCTCGCCAGCACCCACCACCTCCAGCAGGTGCCCCTTAAGCTCCCTCTGCTGGTCTTTCTATGGAATCCAGAAACCCTAGCAGCCAGCGACCCTAGCCTGGCTTTGCCCTCAAGGGACTCAGCTGTACTGCTTTTGGGAGTGAGGACCCTGCTCTTGAGAGCCTCCTATTCCTTCCAGTCACTCCCATCCTGAGTAGGGAGAGGCTGGTATCCCATAGTCTGGAAGAGGTCGCCAGGTAGTTCCAGGTCACAAGCCACTTGCTCTCCATGCTCCCAGCCCTTCCTACTGCTATGGAGGACAGAGCCCAGGCACTGAGCCCCTATCCATGCCCCCCATCTCCAGGGAGGTTTGGGACTTACCTTCCTTTTGCCAGTGCAGCCTCTCTGGAGGCTGGTACTGTTGCCATTTCTTTCCTGGAACAGGCAATGGTGATCAAGCACCAGGGTCCAAGGGTTTGCCAGATGGACTCACCAATGACCCCTCACCAGGACCCCATAGGAAGCAGTCACATCAGAGCTGAGCAAACTGACTTGGGACATGTACGTGGGAAAGATACCCTAGGACTTGCCATCTAGCCCCTTTGGACCCTGGGGCTCTGGGCACTTCTGCAGCCATGGGTGACACCAGTGAAACTCCTTGGCTGGGCAGGAGGGCTGAAGGTTGGCCTGGAGCACGATGCAGGCACAGGCATGTGTGCCTGGTGTCCGATGACACTGGGGGGTCAGGGGAGCGCTAAGTGCAAGGCCAAACTGGAAGAGCTGGCAATGGCTCCTCAGAAGTTGGGGTCCAGGCCATTGGTTCGTTCTGTGCCTTCTGTGTATCCCACCCAACACCATGAAGCGGGAGCACATTGAAAGGCAACACGGAGAAGGTGGGTGTAGCGCTTAGAATGATTACACCCCAGACTACTGCCAGTTTGACTGGCTTCAACTGTATCAGTGAATTGGCACTCACAATGTAAGCATGGAGAGTACTTCAGTGTGTGACTCATGCCCAGGGCTGCAAACACAGGAACATTGCAGGCCATGTAGGGCTGTCTACATGTGTTGCTGACTGCTGGATTTGGGGGAAGCCAGGCAGTTGCTGTCCCAATGGTAGGCGGTCAGAGGCCGTACCCTGGGCAGGCTGGAGGGACTGAGGGGCAGGAGAGAACAAGGCAGTCCTTTGCCAGACCACATGTGCTGGGAGGGGCAAACCCACGTAGGCAACCAGGAGACAGCGGGTAGATGCTAGTCACGGGGCACCAGGCAGGGAAGGCTTAGCTGGGGGCCGGGGAAGGCAAGCTTGCAATACCAAAGAGCAAAGCAAACCCATGAGATGGGAGTTTCAGCCCAGTCGCCGCTCAGTGCTGCATTGTCATGTGGACCAGCGGATGCTGGCTGCCCAGCACGGACCTGAGTGGGAGGCAAGGTGCAGCGACGCAAGCGAGGGGCCTCTAACTGTTTATTGAAAGAAGCAAGGGGGCCTGGGGGCACTGCCCTCAGGCCTGGATGTGGCTCTTGGCGTTGAAGGCCAGGTAGTAGATCACTATTCCGATGACTGCGGCCAATACCTCGGTGGAAACCCAGGGCCCGTTCCAAGTGCCCTGTAAGAAAGGGGAGAGCAAAGCAAGCTCAGGGGAGGGATGGGCGAGCAGCCCATCCCCTGCCCCCTGCCCCAAAAGTATAAGGTTTGCTGTGTGCTTACTGTTTCCCAAGCCCAGGCCAGCCTCTTCAGCCCACTCACCCGATGGTCTACGCTGACTGTGAACAGGGGGGCGATGGAAGAAATGTCTTCGTTGTTTCTCTGAGCCTGCAAGGGAGGTGGTGGGGTTAGGGGTGCTGCCGGGTGGGGTGGGGTGGGATATGAGAGATGAGAGCACTGGCTTGAGTCAGGGAAGAAGGGAGGAGAGAGATGGGTAAGGGAAAAACACAAGGTCTAAGCACAGGCGGAGCAGGTGTATAAGAAGGCACCCACCCAGCCATCCTGCTCCCTGTAAGCAAGGCCCCTAGTGGCCACGGGCTCCTGGAAGAGGGGCTGGAGGGTGGAGGCGGGGTGTGCCCTCCCTCCTGCAGGCTGAGGAGGAGCCACAGGTGACACTCACCTTCCTCAGCTGGCTGTAGGACTCCTCGTCGAAGAATCTGACCTCATAGGTACCTGCGTGGGCATTTTTGTGATCTAGGCTCCAGGACACCTGGGTTGGGTGTTTGGCACAGGGTAAGCACAATGAACACATCAGGGTCCCGCTGCCAGTGTTAACACAGCACCACTGCCAGCCGCCCAAGACAAAGAACCCTGACCCTGCTTGACCAGGCCACCTCTAGGGCTTCCAGTCACACCCGGGAGCGGGTGGCCTTCCCCCAAGATGACAGCCACAGTGTCCCTTACCTGGTAACGTCCCACGTCCTGGCCCCGGGTGACAGGAAATTGTTTTCCACTGACGTCAGCATAAAGAGCCATGTTCTGGGGTGAAGACAAGGGGGAAATCATTTTCTCCCCTATATGGCTGTTGGCAGAGGCCCCACTGTGCTGCCCACCTGTGGCCTATGGACAGGGGATACCATGTAAGAATCATGGAGGTAGCCCGGACACAACCCAGAGCCTTGCCAGGAAGCCAACACCCACAGATACTGTCACTACTTCTCTGGTTCCTCAATTCTGGGGCGGGGAGGGTACATTCCTTTTTTTGGCCCGGCCCTCCTAACCCACAGCAAGCCTGTCAACTGTGATCAGCATGGGATGATTGACATGTCATTATTTCTGAGCTTGTAAGGGGACATTGGGGTCAAGGGGTACCCAATGAGCTGTCCAAGAAATGTACCCAAAAAGGACTAACTTCCTTCTTTGGGCCTTTGCGATGCTGGTTAAGGTCAGGGGCTGAAGCTAGGTCTGTTCAGTCTTAAAATTATGGAATGCCCACATGGACATATACCTTGGTAAAGAGCAATCAGAAAAGGGATGAAGGAGCCTGGGGACTGACCCCTGGCTGTTTCTCACTTCCACATACATTCTTTTTCTTTTATGTTTTTTTTTTTGTTTCAGAGAGAGGAAGGAAGAGAGAAACATCAGTGATGAGAGAATCATTGATCAGATGCCTCCTACATGCCCCAGACTGGGGATTGAGCCCAAAATTCGGTCATGTGCCCTGACTGTGAACTCCTGGTTCATGGGTTGATGTTCAACCACTGAGGCACACTGGCTGGGCAACATACATTCTCTTAAGACACAGCAAAGTGTCTACCTACATTACTGCATCTAGGCAAAACCAGGCGGCTTAGGAGAATGTTCTCTGAACACCTGCTAGAATTTGATCTTAGTGAATCGAGATCCACATGGGTCCTCGAGTCTGCTAGTTGAGTAGCTAATGCCCAAGGTCCCAGGCTCACTACCCGTTTCTCACCCCAGTACCCTCCTGGCTGAACCCCCCTCCTTTACCTGGGCCCTGTTCTTGCATGTCAAGGAAATCTCCACAATGAAGACAGTCTCAGTAGAAATGACGGCATCAGAAGTTGTGTAGTAGGAAGGAGTGATTTGGGGCTCCATGCAGGCCTCTGCTGTGGGGAAAAGGCAAAGAATGCCGGGGTAAGGTCTAGTTGATGCATGCTGGGCTGGAGGACAGAGGGACCACCCTCACCCCAATGATCACACCTCATCAGCTAAGGACACATGGAACCCTTTGGACTCTGCCAGGTAAGATATGGGAAACAGATCTAAATAAGTCAGAAGTCAATGGCAAGGCAGGGTGGGGAATGGGAAGGCTTTGTATAGGTGGGACCTCAATGGAAGGGCAAAAGAGCAGGCAAGGGTGGGGGAGGGAACTGGATGGATTCACTGCATAACTCGTGTCTGTCTGTAGACGTATAGATAGGGAAGCCATGCAAAGGTTTGGGGCTACAACCTGCCTTTGGCCTGTAGCACTCTAGAAGCCCAGGGGTTTAAGCTGACCTCAGTTTAGAGCCATGAAGAACCCTGGGCAGCCAAAACCGGTTTGGCTCAGTGGACAGAGCGTCGGCCTGCGGACTGAAAGGTCCCGGGTTCGATTCTGGTCAAGGGCATGTACCTTGGTTGCGGGCACATCCCCGGTAAGGGGTGTGCAAGAGGCAGCTGATCAATGATTCTCTCTCATCCATGTTTCTAACTCTCTATCCCTCTCTCTTCCTCTCTGCAAAAAATCAATAAAATATATTAAAAAAATAAAAAAAGAACCCAGGGCAGTTTATTCAAAGTGTCCTCCACAGACACCAAACGCGGTGCTGCTGGCAAAGCACGCGGGCTTTCGAGATGGAAGGGGGGTCTCCGCCTCCAGCTACTGTTGACACAGGCCAACAACAGTAGCCCCAATGTTTCCCGAGGGAAGGAAATGGGAGGGGTTCTGGATCCAGATGCACAATTGGTCCCTTGACCAGGGCTGCCCTGAGAAAGAATGCTGCCTTAGCCACCTCTTCACTGCTAGAAGCTAGAGAGAAAAGGTGCCACCGAAGTCAAAGGGTGCCAAGTAAATGCTACCAATGGTAAAGTTCTCTGAATGTGGTGTCCCTGCCTTAGGTTGAGGCAATCAGGGAAGATTTGGGGTCTGGACATAGGGGATATGCCTTGGGAACACTGGTGGGGCAGTTCTTAGGAGCCACATCCTGAAGATTCTTCCGTGTCCAGCTAAGCTTGGCACCAAAACGTTTTTACAGTCAGGTATGTCCTTTCCAGACCTCTCTGTCTACAACATGGGGAATCCCTGAGAGATAAGTGAGAAGGGTGCAGGCAGGCCAGTTAGGCTGGTGCAGACACCAAGGGCACTGGTCTGAAGGAGGGCAGGGAAAGTGAAAGCACAGAAAGCGACCCCTCCCCAGTCCAGCCCCTAGGAGGCTCCGGCTCCGGCAAGGACATGCTCCTCAGCACACTTCCGGGACTCCAGACTGGGCTCAACCCTGCCACTACGTGTTCATCTCTCAAGAACGCCAATTGATCTGTGGTTCTGCTCTGCCGAAAAGCCCTTTAAAGTTACATCAGGGCCTCAGATAAAAACTCAAGTCAACAGTCTGGCCTGACAGCCAAGCTCCCGCTTGCCGTAACCTCTGCAGCTCAGATCTAACTCGCCCATGCTCTGCCTGGTCGGTCCCTTCTCCCTCTTCACTTTAAGAGCTCCCTTCCTGGGGAGGCCTGGCCCCACCGCGCCCTCTTCTCCAGCCCATTTTCTCCCCCTGATCACCCTGCGCTGTCGAGCTTTGCTCCTGACGACCCTCCTCCGAGACCCGGAACTCTGGGAGAGGGAGCAGAGACGTGTGTCACTTTCCCTGCTGGAGAGGGAGCCGGGTGCACCTCTGAAACTCTTCCTCGCAGGAGCAGAAAGGAGAAAGGTTGGTTTGTTTCTTCCGGCAGCCTGGCTGCTGGGTAAACATGTGTGGTGCAGGGGCGCTTGGTGGCCTTGGTCGTCGCGCCCTGTGGCGACCTGCCTCTCAAGACGAAGAAGGCCCCGTACCCCGCTTTCCCCCGCACCCCTCCGCCCCGCCACGCACCACCAGTAGTGGAAGAGAAGCTCGCCAGAAACGAGCTCCTGCCATGCCGCTACCTGAGCAGCAGGAGAGGCCCGACAGCAGGAGGAGCGCCAGGGCGCCGAGAGATGCCAGCGCCACCATCGCCTCTTCTATGCCGAGGTAAAGAGAGAGCGACTCCACTGAGCACGAGGGGCAGACAAGGAAGCGCGACACGTAAGAGGCCGCGGCAGCCAATCAGACGCCGGCGGGCCGGGCGGGCCTGTGACGTTGCTAGCGGCACTGACGTGTCCCCTTACTGGACCTGTGGCCCAGCTGGGTGCCCCCCCAAGATGGCGGCGGCGGCGGCGGCGGCGGCTGCGCTCTCGGCACCGGAAAAGGGCGTGGGAACCGGCAAGTCACGCGCATGCGCACCACAAGGACACGCCCACTCCGCGGATCCGCAACCATCCGAACTCTCGTGAGAGCGGCGTCTGCCTGCAGGGGCGTGCTGTTGCTCTCACTTTCCGTCATGGCGCTGAAGGTGGCAATGGCTGTTGGCGGCCCTGCGAAGGCAGTGCTCAGGCCGGCCTTCCTCTGCCGTCCTTGGGAGGTGAGAGGGGGCAGCGGGCGGCAGGGCGGGTCGCAGCGCTCGCTGGGGGTGCTTGCCTCTCGGTGGGATTGGATCTGGGGGCGGGGAGAGGGCTCCGCGCCGGAGATCATTGGCCGCCTCCGTTGTCAATGACGTTGGTCCGGCTTCCCCTGGTTTCTGCATCTTGTGGTGGGGGTGCTCCAGACAGGTGGGAAGAGGGGGCCTAGGCCCGAGTATCACCTCCCTAGTGCGTTTGTGGGATCCCCCATGAGGCAGTCACGTATCTTGGCCTGCCTTCTTTTTGCTACCTTCGGAATCCCGTTAGCTGCCTACGTTCCTCGGGTTTCTCTTCTTGTGGACTGTTTTGCCGCATGTTCCAGTGGAGATGGAGAAATGGACTTGCCAGGACCCCCAACCCTCCTCATGACATTCTTCTAGCCCCAGTTCTTCCCACCGCAGGTGCTTGGAATAGGAAGGAGCTAGGGTTGGTGAGGCTGGCCGGGTGGGAGGCCTCTGGGGCTTTGCTAACCGAATCCTTCCTTTAGGATTCTGGTCTGATTCCTCTCTCTTGACAAACGTAAATGAGAATAATTTAATCTCTGCGTGAAGCATCAGCGAGCCAGAACTGGCCTGGAGGACAAAAGCTATGATCTCTAGGCCTGGCTACCCCACTGACCCACTGTGTGGCCTTAGGCCAGGTCCCTCCTCTATCTGGGCTTCAATTTCACCTCTGTCTCAAGGATCCAGCCAACTTTGACCTTCCAGAACCCTGCGACTTTGCTGACACTCCTTGTGGGCACATCCCCTGTCATGCTTTCCTTCTCAGGCCCCTCGGGAACATGGCCCTGTAACAGCACACCCTTTATGAAATTCCGTTTAAAAAGCTGGCTCCTCCCACCTGAGAGACTTTCCAGATTCTGGCAGCTAGGCTCCCACAGGGTCTTGGTGAAGACATTCGTCTCCTCCCTGACCTCCTTTGTGTGTGTGTGTGTGTGTGTGTGTGTGTGTGTGTGTGTGCGCGCGCGCGCGCATATGTATTCATGTGAGGTGGGCATGGGGGCCTGGGGCCTGTGAACAATCCGGGTAGAGCATTGCCCTGAGACTGGTTGTCCTGGGTATGGGAACCTTTAGAAATTAACCCCAGAGTTTTGCTCCCACTGATGGGAACCTGTGGGAAAACATGTAGCCACCATTGACATTAAATCCAACGAACGTGTTGAAGAGAGAAGCCTCAGTACTCTGTGGAGTGTGGGGGCCCTTTGGTGAGAATATATATCACCCTGGACTCTTTTCTTTTCATAGCACATTAAAGAGTCTTGGCGTGGCTCAGTGGTTGAGTGTCTACTTGTGAACCAGGAGGTCACGGTTCGATTCCTCATCAGGGCACATGCCCAGGTTGCAGGCTCGATCACCAGTGTGGTGCATGCCAGGAGGCAGCCAGTCAGTGATTCTCTCTCATCATTGATGTTTCTTTTTTTTTTCTTTTTTTCTTTTTAAATATATTTTATTTGATTTTGTACAGAGAGGAAGGGAGAGAGATAGAGAGTTAGAAACATCGATGAGAGAGAGTCATCGATCAGTTGCCTCTTGCACACCCCCTACTGGGGATATGCCCGCAACCAAGGTACATGCCCTTGACCGGAATCGAACCCAGGTCCTCCAGTCCCCAAGCTGACGCTCTGTCCATTGAGCCAAACCAGTTTCGGCTCATCATTGATGTTTCTGTTTTTTGCTTCCTCTCTAAAATCAAAAATATATGTTTTTTGTTTTTTTTAAAGAACGAGGGCTGACAGTCCACCCCCTGCCACTTGAGGAATGAGCAGGAAGCCTGTGCGTATATCCCATCCTGCTGCATACCAAGCTCCTTTTTTAAAAATATATTTTTTTATTGATTTTTTTTACAGAGAGGAAGAGAGAGGGATAGAGAGTTAGAAACATTGATGACCGAGAATCATCGATTAGCTGCCTCCTGCACACCCCCCACTGGGGATGTGCCCACAACTAAGGTACATGCCCTTAACTGTAATCGAACCTGGAGACCCCCCCCCCCCCCAACCTCACCCCCAGTCTGCAAGCCGACGCTCTATCCACTGAGCCAAACCAGTTTCGGCTACCAAGCTCCTTTGATGGGTAGCTTCACTAGACCTGGATTTGAGGCAGAACCTCCTTAACCCTCAAGGAAGGTGCCTGCATCTTTCAGAGCAAGGCTAAGGAAGTCTTTATCTGAGAGCCCCCTGAGTCTTCGGCCAAAACAGAAGGAACATCTAGCAAAGGGACCAGGTGAGGAAGAGGCTCATCCCTGATGGTGACGTGATCAAGATGGGGGAGGGGAGTTGCACAGAAGCAGAGCCAGGCCTGGTGCAAGGGCTGGCTCACCGCCACACCGAACTCAGTGGACTTCAGAGGATTGAAGCCCAGGAGGAATTACTGTCAGGACTGCAGGGGTCAGCCCAGCATCCCCGCTCATTGGACACCAGCCTTGACCACTGGCCTGAGGGGCTGTTGGGGTAAAGGGGCAGGTATGCTTTTGCACAGCTCTGTGTGCCCTGCTTGGGACTGAACAGCTCACATACCTCTTGCCCAATCCTTCAGGAGTCACATAAGTAAGCACCTCTGTTCTAGGGGTTTCAGGGGAGGACGGGAAGCTGAACAAGGTTAAGGTGTTTGCTGCCAAGAGTAGTGGATGTGGATTTGAACTGAGGTCTCCCCAAGCCCCCAGAGCCCTCCATCTCTTCTTTCTTTTTCTGATGTGCTCATTCATTCAGGAAATGTTTCTGTGTCCTAGCTCTGGGCAAAGCATTCTGCTGGGTCTTGGGGTGACCGTAGGGGGCAGGACAGACTTGGCCTCCGCTTTCAGGGACTTAGGGGTTGGGGAAGGAGCCAGGCAGAGACAACCTTCTAGAAGATTGTGCTTGGACGGGGAGGAATTGAGGTAAGGCTTTGGGAGGCCCAGGGGAGGGGGAGGGTACCAATAGCTCAACACTCTCAGGGCATTAGAGAAGGCTTCCTGGAGGAAGAGCAATTCAAGTGTCCTTTCACAAGGTTGTATGAGAGCCTATAAAACCAGATGAATCCAAATACTGACAGGTACTAGAAGGAAAACCCGAAATGCTCTGAGTGTGTCTGTGGCTACAGATCCAGGGGCCACGTGAATCAGCAGATACCCCCAGGACATCTTGTCCTAGCAGTCACCCCTCCCCCTCTTAGCCCCTGGCTTGGGTGGGTGAGTGGCACACCTTTGCTTTCAGAGCTCCTGCTTGTGGGTGCTCTGTGAATACTGACCGGGAGATTCAGGTGGGGATGGTCAGCCTCTGCTTGAGCTTTCTAGACTTCTAGCAGGAAGGCACGGCTCTTTGAGAGATGGCCATGGTGACTCTGCTGTTGACTGGAATGCTCTGCTGCTGCTCTCCAGGCAAGTGGCAGGGCATCCCCAAGTGACGAGGAGGACCTTGGCTCTGTCCCTGCCTCTTTGGATTGAGGGCCACCCCGTGTGTTCCCAGGTGGGGGCACAGCAGGGAGGAAAGTGTGGGCCTGTGGCTACCCTGCAGGGGGGTTGGGGGTGGGGGGACCTTGGATGAGGATTGCTTCCTCCAGGTCAATGTGGGGACTCCACATTGGTCACTTCTCAGCACCTGTCCTATTCGGCTTGGTGGCTTTTGCTCTGGAGCTGTCAGGCATGGCACTCATGTGGCCAAACATGGCTCCTCTGAGTCAGAGATGGGGACATTTGCCATCCGTGTAAGCCGGGAAGCAGTTTTGCAATCCTTTATGAAAGTCTTCCAAAAGATTGGTGTATGTTATCCTTCTATAAATGGCTGAACCCTACCTGGTTTTTCTTAGTGGTTAGAGCATCAGCCCGCAGGCTGAAGGCTGCAGGCTCAATTCCAGTCAAGGGCACGAACCTTGATTGCAGGTTTATTCCCCTGCCCTGGTCAGAGTGCATATGGGAAGCAACCAATCGATGAATCTCTCTCACATTGATGTTTCTCTCTCTGCTCTCCCTGTCTCTTCCACTCTCTCTAAAAAAAAAGAAAAAAAGAAAAAAAAAGAAAAATCAATGGAAAAAAATATCCTCGGATGAAAATTTAAAAACAAAACAAAACACCCACATATAAACATGGTTGAATTTGGATTTCTGATTCTGGAGGGCAATTTCTGGCAGTGCTTGTTTCTGGAGGAGGTGCTGGGAGCTGTCTTTTTCTTCTGATCTCCATATCTCCACATTCTAGATTTTCTCCGTGTTCTACTTTTGTAATAAGGAATAAAGATCAAATGATCATCGTGGTGGCCCTCCATTTTGTTATAGTGATTTCCTTATTGTATTATGTTCAATGTATCACCTTTTCCATGTTACAAACATCACTGAACAGTAATAATTGTCCAAAAAGGAATCAGAAACAACCTAAGAAGGGGGAAGGAGACATATTTTTTTTTTTTTCAAAACTGACCATGCAGCCCTAGCTGGTTTGGCTCAGTGGATAGAGATCACCTGCAGACTGAGGGGTCGTGGGTTCGATTCCCAGTCAAGGGCACTTATCTTGGTTGCAGGCTCCATCCTGGCCCAGGCCAGGGC